TTCACTTGGACGCGACCTACAAGCTCACGCAGGTCGGGTATCAAGTTATCGTTGTCGGGATCTCGAACAGGGCAAGACGATTTCATTTGTTGGCAATATTTATTGTCTCGCAACAGCAGCAACTACACTACACCGAGGTGCTTGCGCTCGTGTGTAACATGTACCAAACTATAGTTGGTAAATTTCTCCGGGTACGCTATGTGATGAGAGATGCTGACGCAGCCCAATGGAACGCGGTGAACGACGTGTTTGGGCAAGGTGAGGAATTTGTATTTCTGATGTGCTACTTTCATGTGGCAAAGAAGGTATACGAGAAAACTCGCTCGTTGGGGTCTGTTGCGGCCTCCTCTGTCATGAAATACATTCATGAGCTCCATTTCTCGACGAATGAGGCGGCCTACAACTCGAAGCTAGGAGAAGCTCAAGCGAGATGGTCAAAAACTCCGGAACTGGCGAAATTTTCTTCCTATTTCTCAAAGGTCTGGCTGAACGAGAGGGTGTGGCGTTGGCAATGTTTCCATACACCGAGTGGTTTTGCGACAACGAACAATCCATGCGAGACGTACAATGCAGCGATTAAGAGAGATGTCACGCTCCGCAGAAAGCTGAAGGTCGGCGCCCTACTGCCCCAGCTACTTACTCTTTGCCGAAGTGAAGCTGTCACCGCAAGACCATTTGCCGTGTCCCCGGAGCCAGATTATCGGTTGGTTCGTCGAGCTCGGGCGATGTCGCGGGCGGGCTTGCTTGAGCTACACCACCAGTCTCGGAACAGTATCGCATTTTTGCTAGCTACCACGACTGAGGCCGAGCCTTTGGATACAGTCCGTGTTATTAGCAAGCCGTGCCCGCGTGTACAGGATGAGATTCGCCGACGCAACGTTGAGGGCTTACCCGCTACAGCCCGGCTGAGCAAACTGACTGCTGCAATGGAAACGCTTGGTATGCCTTCGAAGGGGTGGCTGATTGACATGAATTCGGCTAAGTGCCCTTGTCCCTTTTCGATGAAGCACGGCTATTGTGTGCACACACTCTACGCGATGGAATGCTGTGGAACTATGGATCTCACTGGACGTCAGACACTTGTCAATCGAGGAATATCCGGTCGCAAAAAGGGACAGAGCTCCCGCGGGCGCCCACGCAATAGTGGTGCGGCACTAGAGATGAAGTAGGATCGAGATTGAAGGAGATTTTAAATGTCTAACGTCTTTGCTTGATAAATCTCGACGGTGCTCAAGTCAGTTTACGTATGCTTATATCATGTCATACTTGTATTCACTTAATTTCCTCCATTATTGAGTTCGTTCAGAAATTTCCTTTTGCGTTGCTCTTAAATGCCATGTCTCGCAGAAATTCCGGGGTGCTACCGGCTCACGATATTTAGTCATTGCAGCGATACGAGCTCCCGTGTTCTCTCAATAATCTTTAATGGTTTAGCTTAGTCAGGGATGTGGAATAACTTACCAATTGTCACTACCGCGTCTTTATTACGTAAGACTGGTCATCACGTGAGCCCACCTCAGCTTTCACCTACTTCACTCTTTTAAAAATACAGCCAAACATTCCGTCAAATACAGGTACCCTTTGCTGAACGCTAAACATATCATGCGTTATCGGGGCTACTAGCTAAATAAAAAATCAAGTGATAATATTGACGCTAAACGCAAACTACGCAATGACTTCTTTTACTCTTTCTTCAATTTTGCTCTTTACAAAACCCGCTTCCACATACCTACAAAGTAATCCAGCAAACCCATCACATCAATGATAACAATACTTGTTTGGGCTGCTAGTTATGTGAATACATTCATGAAGTGAACTAATTGGACACGTTACGAAATGTAAAGATGACTCTAACGTCTTACGTGAAGGTGTCTTTATATTTAGTTGACAAGAAACTTACATATATTATAGCACATCTATATGCAGCGGAGTCGTGGATATTTTGACGGGGCTGCCACGTCAAGAAATTAAGACATTGAAGTTGCATACTTTACCACTTCAACGAGTTCCCAACAATAAAAAACGAAAAGATCACACCTAAATTTAGATTATCTAGTACGTTCTTACTGTTGCTCCACCGAATCGCTCGTGTCAGCGTTTGTCCTCTTCGCTGCTCGCATTTTCTTCATTTTGTCCAGTGTGATGCTCTTCTTCGTGCGCCTTTTCAATGACCGAGTAGTCGCTGCATTGCGCGCGTAATTCGTCGCAGCTGGCGTAGGAAGTTGGGAAAGAAAATGGGCGCGCTCACGCTCGAAGTATATCTGTCGTGCCTTCTCGTCCTTACACTCTTTCATTTTCCATTCTCTTTTCTCCATGGCGCAATACGCTGACAACGTCGACTCCCATGCTTTCAGTGAGCCACGCCGAGCGCCCGAGGTAACGCGAGTAGCGTAGCGAAAAGATGCCAATCTGTCCTTAGCGCTGATAATCACGTTGCCAGAAATGGCCCCCCACCTTAGGTGATCCGGCGTACCGGGGATAAATCCAAGTAGAACAGAATGATATACCAGCATGTTCAAATAAACCACATCACCCGGGCGCTGCACTAGTACGCACGATTTGGTTGTGTCGATCATGCGATTGAAAGTGTCGTTTCCGTTTTCAAAACTAAACAATTCTGCACACTTAGGCGTTCTGAAGAACACCCAAATCTTGAAGGTGTGCGTGAGGCTTGAAGGTATATACGACACTACACGACCATGGTCTGCGTGAATCGGCGAGATTCGATTCCCGCTTTGAAGCCATGACTCCACAGGGTACACGTAGGCCTCATCGGCAGGAAATACCAGCTTAGAGTAGTATCCAGGAAGATTGACTATGAGTTGATCGCAAGGGGTTGGAATCTTCTTTTCCCATAGGCTCTCAACACGACGCTGAACATAGGCACGCATATCCATCACGCGCAGTAAGTCATTGAAGTGGGTAGGCGCTTCGGGAAGTCGTTCCTGTTTGCGAAAGCGTGCCACATCCTTACAGGCTCCTCGAAAGACTAACGCAGGCACCTCGCTGCTAACCGCGTCGCTCCATGAGAACCCACCGTCAACGTAGCGGTCAGCGGAAGCAGAAATCTTGGCTACAATGCGCGGAATCATAACTCTGCTGTTTCCATAATCTCCACATTTCGCAAGATCGCACAACTCGTTGATAAAATCCACCATTATATTACCAGAACACCGCACACTATCGTAGCCTAGAAGATCGTGGACTAGGGGTCAAGCAATCGCCACCTCCGGGCGTGTCGGTGCTCGCTCTGCGGTCTCGGACGTCCTCTTGAGGCCTTCTGGAACCGCGCGAGTAGCTGGTGCTTGGACGGTCTTGTTGTGAGAATAGAATTTGGGACAGAGCATAGTACAGTCGTCTACACAACACATTATACATTATTTTGTCTCATACGGTAGGTCTATGTGTGTGGCTGAAAAGCAGCGGGAGTTGATGGGAAGAATACGGTTCATGTTTTGCACCGGTGCTCCTGCTGATTATGAGGTGCTGACCAAAAAAAATGCTGGTGTTTCTGGTATTTCCTCACTTCACAATTGAAGCCTGTGAACAGTCTGTATTACAACTTTAGAGTCTACAAAGATACAATTTGACTAGGTGCAAAAACGCCACAGAGGGGCTGCCGCCGATAAGGATCGGGGTGCTGAGGTTATGGTTTCCCGCGTGAGCGGGCCGGAGCGACCAACAGAGAGCTGATGCGGGCACAGAACCGATCGGTCTTGCCATCAGCACTTGCAAAGACAGCGTGTCACCAGGGTTCTGAGAGACGCCAGCAAACAGTCCACGTATCGTAGGGATAGTCGACCCGTCCGAAGCTGGAGAAGTGGAATCGTCGCGAGCATGCCGAGCCCCACACACCACATCGTCCAGAGGATGAAGGAACCGAAGGAATATTTCCACTGCAGCCTTAATCATGTCACCTCGCATAATGCGTCAGCGAGAGGTCTGCAAATATCAAGCGTCTTAGGATAAAGCAAGAGATTGAAAAGTAGACAAGTAAATAAATGTGCATTATTTTACCCGTAGACTGCTGCCTGCGACCTCAGGATGACGAGATAGAGCCACGTGTCTGGCGAGCTGGCCAGTTGCTTGAACAGTCGCAGAGAGCGAAGACAAATCCGCCCAACCGTCTCTCGCCTAGAGCAAGTTCATTGGAATGCTCACACGTTGCCATGTATCCTCTAGCTCGGCCAAGCTGAATGCGTCCATTGCGGATCTTCTCACCATAGGTGGCCTTCATAACTGTGTCCATAAAGTCGATCGAATGATGCGTTTTTCTATTTATGCACTGCTTGGCACCGGAGTTTTAAAAAGTTTAACGCAATTAATTACTTATCCGGTCCGAAGAAGAAATACCAGTTATAATAGGTTTTTCTATACAAAACATCGCATGTGTGATTGGTCAATGTCCGTCCTGAGATGGGTACGATTGGTTAAAATGAATTCGTCTGAGGAGAGTAATTGACACGGAATTGCTTTTAGTGATATACCACTAGATTAAGCTCCGTTTGCACTTCTTCTTGTATACTTTAAAATTTAATTCGGATTATTTTTGACGTCAAAGCGAAAAAAAACTTCACCCCTCCATAAAGTGATTGCTCAAATGGTCAGGTATCGGCAAAATTGGCGGGAAAATTGTTCATAAAAAATCGTGCTGACGCTACGTAAGTAGAGCTTTCAAACTAGCTCAGCCACGCTTCCGTTGGAGCTGTACGACCGAAGTTATCGCCGATTTACAGAACTGGTATTTCTTTTTCGGACCAGAGAAGTAAAAAAGTAATAGTTATTGTTTTCCTATATAACTGGCGGGCTCTGTTGCAATGACTCAAAAGCCCCTCTCAAACACTGACGCTTCATTTTCCCTTCACTCCAAAGATCTGAGAAACCACAAGCGTACGGTCTTGTCGTCGCTTGCGCTTGCCATCACATTCGAATGCACTGGATGACGCACCACTACATTCACGACGCTTGAGTGTCCGTCTAGCTCAGCTGCCACCGTGCCACTATCTCGTTGCCACAAGTACACCTTGCCGTCTGCATACAATGCGCACATACGTTGGATGAGTAAGTACTTGAGCTGTGCGCTCTGAATGTAGTGTACCTTCACTTCCAGAGGCAACAAGCTCACTATGGGCCCCCATGAAACACGGACGAAGCACGTATCGTTGCTCACGAACTCCATGATATTTGGCTACAACAGAGCCCGTTCCAACGTCGATACACGCGAGTTGCTCTTGCTTGACAAAGTTCACCAACAGGAACTTCCCAGACGGAGATACAGTCAGACACGACATGAGGTTTTCCGATTCGATAAACAGCTCATCCGACTTGTGAGCGACATCGTAAACGCGAATTTCGTAGCCTGAAATGAGCACGAACACTTTGCTGTCGTGAGGGTGCACAATGACGTCCAGTACTCTCCGTCCACTCCACTGATAAGCTACGGAGCTCTCGCCAGCATTCTGTAGAACAGCCGAGCATCAGTAGTGAGGGATAGATACCTCAAATCCACGAGCATCGTACCCATAGAACGAGAGATTTGTCGGCACTACCGCTCACGAATTGGTCCCCACACGGCAGCCATTGCATTTTTGTGACGACGCCTCCTGGATGCTCGAAGCGCTTTTCGCACAGTCCGCTCTACGTGTAGAATATCACAAAGTTGATCAGTTACTGTAAACCCTTCAAATGACTTGTAAGACTAGGAAAACGCAGACCATCCGGTCCCAGAGCTGAATTGTGCTAGAGCGACTCCCACTCGACAGCAAGAATCGACTGTCTGGGGACCACGCGAGACAATCTGCGGGACCCTCGAGGCTCTGCAGCACATGGAGAGCTGCTGCCTTCAGCTACAGGAAAGCAAAACCCCAAGTCAGCCCGACTAGAAACAAGCAACAAAGTCAGGCTGGTCTCACCTCCATTGTCTGGCAGAATCCCACCGCTTTCTCCTTCAGTTTTATCTCCCAGAGCACCACAGACCCGTCACTGGACGCCGACGCCAGCATTTCGCCATCCGGAGAGAAGGCCAGCTCCCATACGTCGTTCTTATGACTCGATAGGACCTCCAGAGAGGACCCGGCAACTCGCCCACTCATCATGGGCTGCGGCACTTGCATTTCCACGTCCTGCACGAGTTTCTAGCAGCACAAAGTAACTATCAGCGTTGTCATTCCTAGAAATTGACTTGTAAAAATCACTCTCACGCGAAGTGCCCCCTCTGGCACAATTTCCTCTGGACTGACGAGCTCTTCGAGCTTCAATTGTAGCTCTTCGTCCTGCCAGAGCCTCGAAGCTCGTTGTTTCATCTCGGCGGCGTCTCTACAGAGCAAAAGCTCGGCCAGTTGCTTCACTTCTGTTTCGTTGGGCTCACAAAGCGGTAGAATTTCCTCTTGGAACGTGTGTAGGGCCTCTGGTAGCTGCTTTAGAAGTAGAAAATCAATGAATTTCCGCTGTAGTAGTAATAGTGCTGCCTCACGAGCTGCCATTGTCGACTTCATCCGTAGCTGCTCGTGCTCGCCCCCTGCTTTCGTCACGAGCTGCAACGCATCGTTCCATTTGTTACTGGATACGAGGCTCTGCAGCTTCTTCATGGCGCTAGACCGAAGCTGCACGCAGGCCTCACGCTCCAAGGCGGCGGCGGCGTCGTTGAAGCCCAAATCGTAGAGCTCTCGGAGCAACAGACGCGCCCATTTGTTACGTTTCTTGTGCGGCGAATTGGAGGCGGTTGATGTGTCGACGGAGGGAGAGAGCGAGCAGGGCGTAAGTATGGGCGAAGACGGCGGCGAGCGCTTTCGTTTGGCGTCGTCCGAAACGCGGGACGACATTGAAGGAAGCTATTCTTCAACCGAAGTTATCAGTTTTTGCAAATAAAACAAAAATTGCAAATCCAAATGAGTTTTTGTCAACTTTACTGGGGGAAATTCAAGGAAAGAGCTCGAGGTACCCAAATTTAGAAATAGGATGAAATGGAGTACCCAAAGTGAATCTTGCTGAACTCCCAGATTTCCTTAATAGATGTATGAAAGTAAAGCATTGCAGAAGCGTTGGCTTGGGTAAGGGCCATCAATTTTCGAGCTTATTAAAGGAACTGTCGTGGCAAAGACGCAAACGGTAAGCTTTGTCAGTAAATAACTATCTTTAAATAATAAACACAGCCACGCTGGCAAGACGTACAAAATGAATAGTTATAGTGGCTGTGCGGATGCAGCGAACTCAGCCCCGATATCCCAATTAAACGGCTGGGATGTCGGGGCTACGCGTTCAGTGATTGTGCAAAGCTGCTCGTAGACGTAGGCTATGAATCCGAGGTAATGCCAGCACGATTTTCCTATTTTCTACTTTCTAGTAGTATTTAGCTCTCGTGTCATTACCGCGATATCGTACTTGCGAAGAGGAGACTGACCTATACAAATCCAAATACACTGACCGACACAAATGCAAAATACACTCCAGCGACCTACACTCACGGGACACTTGCTGGGTCTCGGCTGCGCTGGTTTTCAACTAGCAGAGCATTCTGAAGTTCACTACAAATTTGACTTATGTAGAAGTAGATGATTCTGGATGTGATCGCTTAGACGCGGGGGGGGGCAGTATATTGCACGCGGCCCTTGAAAAGCGTGTTTAATATTTGCTCTACAAGGATCTACCTGCGGGAGTTTTTTATTGTAATTCTCTATTTCAGAGTTAAGGGGGGGGTCCTCTGACTCCTTTTAATAAATGTAGTAAGTTAGCAATAACACTACAGTGCCTATGATGCATTTGTGTGTGCACTTTAAGTTTTGAAAAAGTAGAAATAATTCGGATGGCCGAAAAAAAAGTTCATGCGGAGCAGTTGTAGGCGGTGGTTAATTAGGTTTAGATACGACAGCAAAATAAACTTCGAGTGATTTTTAATGCAGCGAAACACCGTAAAAGGTGTCATCGTAGCCTCATGCAGGGTGCCGTGTGCAGTACACGGCGTACTGCTGTGCATGGCACAAAACAAATTATTCCGAGCGAATTAATTTGAGTGAGGCAGTCCATACAGCTCTTCTACTGCAGCTGTCCTCCCTGGATATTCTTTCATATGGAAGCTTGTAGCTTCGGACTTAACTACATGCAGCTTGGGAAGTTCTGGGGTAACTACGAACTCTACAAGAATCTCACTCGCTTTCAAGTGTTTCTGCACCGCATTTCTTTTATTTCATCGGAGGCACGATTTTATTTCAGCTAAAACAGACAACTATTACAGGAGCGATGCGTTACATTTATCTGTGTCACATCTGTGTTATTCTTAACACATTCTCTGAAGGTTTCTAGCTGCCCAGGTTTTTGGTGCATAGATGTGCGCATTAAACCTGGTATACAACCTGAAGCAGGTTTGAAACCAGGTCGTAATGTATTTCGCATTGAAATAAAAATGTAATTTATGCATCTTGGCCTTTCTTTGTTTTGTTTAGAGCTCTGCTTACTCACGAGACGGTAGAATGGAAGGATTTGCACAACCCAATTTGTTGAAGTGGGGAGGTTGCTGTAATCATAACGATCGGATGGCAGGTCTACAATTCTTGTGTGGTGCACATACAGTGTCTGGGACACTTCGGAGACTCCTCAGTTTTGTGCATGTAAACGTAGCAGGCCACATCATCCCAGGTATTCAAACAAATTTACATCAGGTTTTTGTACTTAGAGCGATTTCAGCACGATATACCAAATATGTGAGGGGATATCTAGCAGGATTGACAACAGGTTACAAAACAGGTTTTTGTGTTTGAGGTTTTACCGACGGCAACACAGAACAGCTCGGACTCAAATACTACTTCAACATCTGACATGAAATGAGTGCATTTATTGACTTAGTAGTGCAGACAACATCCGAACTCTAAAGCTATTCAGCTGAGGATCCTTCTGCACATTGCTGATCTTGTCGTCAAGAAGCCTCCACATAAAGTTAACAACGTAAATACCACAGCTATTCCCGTCGTTCTGGGTAGGAGATGCCACAACAACGGATTTGTACGAGGCAAACTTGCTCTCTTTGCAAAGGCGAGTTTTGATTTTGCTCAGGTACGCAATGTAGTCTGGATCTCCCAGCGGGTCGTAAATGAAAATGCTCTTGGTCGCAGTGTTGATCACAATCGACGTCCAGTGAATACGATCAAAATTGAGTGGAAGGAAAACGAGTTTCGTATCACACGTGTTCAGCTCGTGCACAACCTCTGCGGGAAACTCCGTCATTCTCACCTTGCTGTTCAGTTCTAGCTCCTGTGTCAGCATAACTCGAACAATGTAGGCTTTGGTCCAAAAACCTCCAATCGCTTCAAAACTCTGCCCACTAATCCAGTCTCCAGGCTGTAGCCGATATAGCGTCGAGTAGTCTAGATCGCAGTGTAGACTCTCATCCACAATCTGATATGGATGGGACTCTAACAAACACTTTGCGGCTCGATCAGCTTCAGTTTTGTCCTTTCGAATCGACGCTAGCCATTCTACAGAGTTTTGTCCTTTTTCTGGTGACGCATGAGAGACTCCAAGCACTCTTTCATTGTGGAGGATGAATCAAGATCGAGTTTCAGCTTTCCGAAATTAGACTCGATGCGATTATTCGTATTATTGCGAAAATGCGGCAGTCTTTGGCGGCAATATCTAGTCCACATGTCTTTCGACTTGTCCCAATTCTCACAGAAGTATTCCCAGAAGGAGGTATTCCCATGTGCGCATGAAAACTTCTCCAAAATAGAATTATTCTTTGCGTATTTTTCGTTGGACGGAGCGTCTACCAGATTGGAGAAGAGATGATTCATTGAGTCGTACTTGTCTGCAGAATAGCGTCCAAAGCGAGCCTCACGAACCACACTTCGCAAAAACTTCACAACGTGAAAATGACAGAGCAGAATAGTAGCATCCGGAAATGCCTCCCGTATCACACTGATCTCTCTCATGTCTTTATCAACCATCACCACGCGGAGCGACTCCCAGATGACATTGGCAGTTTTGAAGTGGCTGAGGACCTTCCGCATATGCCAATCCGAGTTGGTCTCGATAACAGAGTGCTGTACGAACTGACCAGACCCGAAGGCATCCATCACCATCAGACTGCAAAGCTGGTAGTCGTATCTATAAACATAAAAACAAACGTTAAAAAATAATGAACACTCTAATCCTGTTTTGAGCCTAGCTTAAAACATGGTACGAAACCTGGTTTAAACAACTGAAAGGAAACCTGGATTAGAACCTGTAACAAACTTACCGATTGGTTTTGTGAGTACAGTCCACCAGCAGGAGCTCCGGATACTTAGCAAACGTCGCGCGCATGTGGCCTGTACTCAGTGAGATTGATCCTGTCTCCCCATCGACGTGTCATCGACACTTACCACGTTGTTCTTGTCTTCCTCGCCGAACCCGACAAGAAATTCGGCAACAGCCAAATCATCATCGGCCTGTCCCCGGAGCTTATTGCGAATTCGGGTAAGAAGATTGGCCACATCTCTCTGCGTCACTTTGTACCTGGAGTTATCGCGAATGTACTCGTAAATTCGGAGACTCTTGCCTCCAGCGCGTACCATCAACCGAAGGTCTTGAACCAGAGGCTCGAACATCGGAACTTGGCGATTGTGAGGATAATGTTCGTAAATGTCCTGGGAAAATTTGTGGTTGTGAGTGTAGATGGGATTTTTGATCTCTAGGATCCACTTTCCTTTGCGGTACACACTCTCTGCAGTAAAACAAAATGGACATCCAGTACCTCGAAGCTTGAACTGCTGTCTCTTTCCAGATCCACGGCGGCGGGTCCGCGACCCGTGCGTACAAATGTATCGCCGGCGAAAACGGGGAAGGGTCTCGGGTAAGTATCGCATCGAACCACCGTCCTTAGCGCGCTTAGAAGCACGCAGCATCTTGTTGCGTTTGGCGACACTCTCCGATTCGTGCACCACAAGATGCGCACTTTCGGATTCGCAATACGATTCGCGGTATTTCTCCCAGCTTTTCCAGTTTGTGTGGTAGCGACGCAGCTCCTTCCCCTCAAAAGAGCCCTCCTGGTCTGCTGGAAACTCCTCTTCGCTAGCACTGCCGCCAACCTGCGTGGCCACCTCCCCCTCACCTTCCGATTCTGAGACGCTGGACAAAGAGGCTGGGGGATCTTCGTCGATGGACGCTTCGTCTTCAAAGTAAGCTTTGCGCTTCATTATTCCAGCACGACTCAAATTTGGAAATGATTGGATTATGAGAAGCTGCGACGTGCCGTATCATGGGATAAGTAGGTGTAGGGGAATAATTTCAAAGCATGGTATTTTACTTTATTAATTATAGCCTGGCCAGAAACCTGGCGAAACCTGCTGGTCAGTAGTCGCACGGCTATGCACCAAAAACCTGGGTAGGTTTTTCCTTTTTGGTACTCCATTTCGTCCTATTTCTAAATTTGGGTACCTCGAGCTCCCTGAGCACTAGTCATTTGTCCGTATCATCGCTCACCAGGCTGGTGACCAGCCGCCTATTCGCGACGAGAAATGCATGTGCATTGCCTTGCCTTGAAGGCAGCGCTTTGATTCACATTCGTCGGTCCGTGCAACTTGCTCGATGCACCTTCAAGCTGCAGAACCTGTGTTAGACAGAGGTTATACTGTGAGAATGTAGAAGTGATATTTGCTCTGTTAACCATCTTCCTGTGGCAGCCACCCGTGCCACCACTCCTGTGTGTCCGTATAGTCGGCGGCCGAACCGGTCTTTTCTACCGCCTTGAACCGCAGCTGCTCCAGCCGCACGGTCCAAATCCAACACTCCTCCTCGGTCGTCGCACTCTCGGCAGAACTCGTCACTTCAGCTTGAAGATCTCCCGCAGTTCCGCGATCCTCGGCGCCGGTAACGCCTTCGTGAGAAGATCTGCCATCATCAGGCGTGACTCCACGTACTCGGGCTTCACTATCCCTTTCCTGGCAAAATCACAGATGAACTTCACGCGTATGTCCACGTGCTTCGCACTCGCCATGCTCTCCTCGGATTCTAGCTGCTTAATCGCCGCCTGGTTGTCCATTCTCATGGGCACTGGCTCCACTACCCGGAAACCCAGCTCACGCACCAGCTCCCGAAGTCCCAGCAGCTCGCGCCCCACCTGCGACGCTGACGTGAGCTCGGCCTCCATCGTGGAGAGCGACACGCCGGTCTGCTTCTTGCAGATCCACTGCACCACAGCCCCGTCCATCGTCACGACTCCTCCATTCACCGACTTCCTGTCGCTCTTGTCGGCGACGAGGTCTGCGTCGCTCCAGCTCTCCAAAGCCATCACGTCCTCCTTCCTCGTCGGCGCCTGCATGATCAGCTTGACGCTCTTCGTCCCCTTCAAGTACCTTGCGACCCTCTTGGCCAGCTTCCAGTCACTCGTGGTCGGCTGGTGTGTCCTCCTCGTGGCCTTATGCACAGCGAAACTAATGTCGGGTCTCGTGCACCGTGCTATCCAAAGCAAACTTCCCACGAGCGACTGGAAACGGCGGATCGTTGGCTCACCCGGCGCACCCACCTTGGTCAACAACTGCGGCTCGTCTACCTCCGCCTCGTTGTGCTCCTCACCAACAGGAACCCACACACTGTTTGCGTTTGCCAGCCCATGCTGCTCCAGCAGCTCCTCGATCGTCGCCTGCTGGTCCAGCGAGTACCCCTCGCTGCTGTCCAGCTCCACGCGCATCCCCAAGAATTTCCTCACCTCGCCCAAGTCTTTCACGGACAACACGCTCATGGAGCAGAAGAAGTCGTCCACCAGACCCGGCTTGGACGCGGTGACCAGGAGATCATCCACGTACACGCCCATGAGCGTCATCTCGCCGTCCTCTCGCTTGTAGTATAGGCACATGTCCGTCACGCACCGTGTGAACCCCGCCTCCTCCAGCTTCGCGTGCAGGAGTTGACTCAACAGCCTGCCCGCTTGGCGTAGGCCGTACAGCGACTTCCTCAAGCGCAGCGCCAGCTTACCTTTGACGCTCACTCCGAGCCTGCGCATCACCTCATCTCCGATCACCATTCCCTGTGGGATCTCCCGGTAGATCTCGAGATGCTGCTCCTTGTCGGCCTTCACGTACGCGTTGGGGATGTCCCCGTGCCTCGCCGGCACGCCCCAGCGACGAGCAAAAACCAGGATGACCTTCACCGTGCTCAGTTCCATGACCGCCGCGAACGTGAGCCCGAAGTCCACGCCAAAGATCTGCTCGTTGCCGCACGCAACGAGCCTGGCCTTGAACCTTTCTATGGCTCCGTCTGCATCAGTCTTGGTCTTGAATACCCACTTAGTGTGCAGTACGTGGCTGCCGATCGGTGGCACCACCACGACCCACACGCCGTTCTCCTCCAGCGCTTTGAGCTCCTCCGTGATGGCAACCAGCCATTTCCTCCAGAGCTTGCTCCTCTTTGCCTGCCGGTAGCTCTTCGGGTCGGGCTCCCGCACGCTGTTCACCACGTCCGCGGTCTGTTCCACCCGATCCTCATCAGCGCCTCCACTCGCCACCGCCTCAGCGGGCTTCCGCGTAGCCGAGCGCGTCTGATGCCTATCCCGCGTCCAGCGAGATTTCTTCCCGCGACGCTTCGCCTTTTCCTTCGTCTTTGTCCTCGAAGTGTCTGTCTCCAAAGCGCCCGTGTTCTCCGACTCCTCGGAGTCCTCCAGGTGCACGCGCTTCAATTGCTCGTCTGCACGTCCGACAACGTCTCGACGTTGCTCACATGCTGCGTCACTACGACTACCTTATCCTTCGGGAGATACACCCGGTAGCCTTTAATCTCGTCGTTCTTTCCCACGATCATGCCCGACTTGCCCCTCTCACCCAGGGACTTGTTCTTTACGTCCACGTGCACCGTACAGGGCGACCCGAAAACCACGATGTCACTCAAAACCGGTGTGTTCTTCGTGAGCATCTGCAGTGGCGACTTCGATCCCGGGTTAGCCTTCGTCGGGCACCTGTTTAGGATATAGGCTGCATATTCCGCAGCATCCCCCCAGAAACTAAGCGGAAGGCCACAGGCGAACACCATGCTCCGCACCATATTCATAACGGTGCGGTGCATTCGTTCCGCCTTGCCGTTACTAGCCTGATTTCGCGGCTCGCTAATCTGCCGCCTGATTCCGGTATCCTTGCAGAAGAGATCCAGGGTCTTGTATTCCCCACCACCGTCCGTCCTCAACACGTGTATACGGCAGTTGAACTGCCGCTCACGCCATGAAATGCTTAAACTTCTGTGCCGCGACGTCCTTAGTCTTCGCCAAGAAGACCCTGCAGTAGTTGGTGCGATGATCAACAAAGTTGACCATGTATCGGTTCTCTAGTCGATCTCTCGGAGTCATCGGCCCCTTCAGGTCGGAGCAGATGACGCCTCTGATCACGTCAATGGGCGAGTTTGCCCCGGTGTCCTTGCGCGACTGCTTCTTATTGGTCTGTTTGCCCTGGGCACAAGCCAAGCAGTTCGCCCTCACCTCGTCCGTGAGTGCAATCCCGGATGCCGGGTCCTTGGCCATCTTAATGATCGTATCGTAGTTCAGATGTCCTGACCTACGGTGGAAATGCATGAGCGGCCCAGTCTGCACGTCCCTGCCGACATCCGCCTCACCTTCCGCCAACACCGACATCAACACGTTGCCCTTCCGCCCCGTGCCTCTGGACTCCATTGCACGCACGGACGTTGTTTGTCTTCTCGACGTCAAACACCGCCGGCCCGCCGTTGATGCCGGCTACCACGCGGTGCTTCCCTCGGTACGCGAGTCCGTACCCCTTCGCCTCCAACAACCCGTACGATATGATGTTCCTTTCCAAGTTTTCCGCGTACTGCACGTTCAGCAGCCGCACTTTGGTCATCTTCCCCATCGCCGTGGTTACGAGCATTACGCTCCCGCGCTTAGTTACTTTTAGCGCTCCTCCGTCCGCTGCCACGCATTGACTTTCGTAGTCTTCCGCGTCTTCCAGCAGCTCCGGATCATTCACCAGATGACGGCTGGATCCACTGTCCAGGATCCAGTCCTCCGTCTCTGTGGCCGACTCCTCGACCGTGAGCACGAAGTCAGCGTCCGTGCCTTCGCCCCACCTCTTCTTCTTGTTCGGACAGGCCGCCCGCAAGTGGCCAGATTTACCACACTTGTAGCACTTGCGGTCGTCCTTCTCGTCCTCGTGCACATCGTTGACCACGTCTCGCCCCAGTTGCTTGCCTCGCAGCTCGATCCCCGTCGACTGGGCGAAGTGCGTCAGCTCTTCCGCTTGGCGCAGGTAGTCCGTGCGTGCCAAGTTCAGCCTGGACAGCATCGACACTCGCATGTTCGGATCCGGGTAGTGCACGATGTTGTCTAGGACCAGGTTGTCCGCACCGCCGCACGCCTCGCTAACTGTCACGAGGTATAGGTAGTGCTCTGTCCAGCTTCTCTTGGAGCTCTTCGGTTCCGTGAACATCTTCATGCTCTGCGCGGGTGTGATCTTCGTGGCGAAGGTGTGCAGCATCCGCTGCATCGCATGCTCGAGCGTCGGCTGTTCTTCCCACCAGCCTTCAACCTGCTGGTTGTAGTACCTCTCGGCCATTCCGCTAAGATGGTGACCGAGGATGTCAACCTTGACGTCCTCGGTCCACTGGAACCCACTAGCACGCTCGGCGAACTGTATCTGGCGCACAAAGCGCTTGCCCCACGCCAGGAAACCGCTCCCTAGCCCATGGTACAGCTCCTTCCCGTCGAACGGCCGGATCCCCAGCTTCCTCTGCCGGGTGTCCGGTACCCCAGCGAATCCCGGTCCTGGCGACGGTGGCGGTGGCGCTCGATACGCTTGCGGCGGCACATAGTGCTGCGGCAGCGCCGGCTGTGGCGCCTGAGCCATCTCGACGTTCGCTGCTGCATCTCGGTACTCACGTTGCTTCATCCCGAAGTACGTGGCCGGCGAGACGGCAGGCGACGTGCGCCGCGGTGGCGTCTGGTCCAGGGCCTGCCTGTCCATGGCTCTGCCCAGGCCCAGCGACGACCCGAAAACGCTGCTCTCTCGACCCTTGCGCTCTTTCTCTTCATGTCGCTCCTGCGACTCCTCCAGGCGTCCCATGCGCACTGCGAGGTCCTTGAGTAGGTCTAGTAGCTTGTCCTGCGTCCCTTTCGTTTCGTCGTCCGCCTTCTTGACTTCATCATCTTCGCCGTACTGGCTGCCTGCCCTTTCGCGACTAGGCTCTGCTTCCGGCTTGCCTTGGACTTCGTCCGTGGCAACAGTATGAACCATTGGACCCATAACCTGTTAGACAGAGGTTATACTGTGAGAATGTAGAAGTGATATTTGCTCTGTTAACCATCTTCCTGTGGCAGCCACCCGTGCCACCACTCCTGTGTGTCCGTATAGTCGGCGGCCGAACCGGTCTTTTCTACCGCAAACAAAACCTCCCAATTCGCACGCGTCCCAGTAACCCAGGAGCATGATGGTCTCACCGCTTCGCCACTCTCGATTTTTCCGCTGTGTGCTTAAGTCGCAATCCGCTCTCCAGCTCCGCGTCATGTCGTCAGCCAAGTTGCGTCAGTTCCCGAAGAACGAGACATTTCCCGACGAATTTCTGCGCCTCGTGCCCAAGACAGATCTTCACTGCCACTTGGATGGTTGTCTTCGTCCCCAGACTCTCATCGACTTGGCCAATCAACAGGGCGTGAAGCTCCCCACTTACGACGCTGAGCAGCTGAACCGCGACGTGTTCAAAGAGACTTATGACTCTCTCGAGGAGTATCTCGTCTGCTTCTCCTACGCTTCGGCCGTGCTGCGAACCAGTGAAGCGCTAGAGCGCGTTGCCTACGAACAGGCGTGCGATCAGTTCGCTCTAGGTGTCCGATACTTCGAGACTCGCTTCGCTCCACAACTCAATGCGGTCCCAGGTGAATTGCCACTTGAAGAAGTTCTGCTCTGCGTCAATCGCGGCCTGAAACGCGCCACCGACGAGTATAATGCTAAGGACAAGGATGTGGTCTCTGGGCTGGCACCTCGGTTCGCCTATGGTATTATTGTGTGTGCTATGAGGTTCTTCACGTCGGAGTTTGGTCCGTACTACAAACAATTCTGCGATGTGCATCGTCACGAGGATCCCCACCGACTGTATGGATTGGCATCCATGGCGCTGATCACACAGGCTTATGCTACCAAGATGCAGCACGGCGTGCCTGTTGTGGCTCTGGATATTGCGGGAGCTGAGAGAGGATACCCAGCTCATGACCACGTGGAGGCTTTTGCCTTTGCACACAAGAAGTTCATGCACAAAACGGTGCACGCGGGTGAAGGTTACGGCCCTGAGAGCATTTTTGAGGCCATCACAGACCTCCACGCCGAGAGAATCGGACATGGATTGCACCTGTTCCGCCATGACACGCTTGAGAAACCAGATCTGGATGAAGACCAGCGCAAAACGTATTGCCACGATCTCGTGCAGTACTTGGGGAACTCAAGGACATGCCTCGAAGTGTGTCTGTCCAGTAACTTGCAGACGACGCCCGACATGAAACTCGATGCCAGGAACCACCCGCTACGTGACATGCTGACGAGCAAGTTGGCGGTGAGTCTGTGCACGGACAATTGCACAGTGTCCCACACGAACATGGTGCGTGAGGTGCGACTGGCGTGTGACGCCTTCCAGCTCTCCCCACACGAGCTGCGTCAGATCCTGCTCACGGGCTTCAAGCGCTCGTTCATGCCGGGAGACTACGCCGCAAAACGCGCCTACACGCACCACGTGATTGATTACTATGACCACCTCATCAGCGAGTTCGGTATCAAAGACTCCAGCACCAGCAAGTCCGGTTAAGCTACAAAATTCCAGTGTGGTTAAGGAGCTAAGCGTTAAGGCTATTACAACCTGTCGAAGCTCAAACTTCCTTTGCTAATCGAACTTTCTACCTCTTGGCGCGGATCTGCTTCTCTTTCCGTCGACCCACCGCAGCTGCAGTCTTCTCTTGGATATCCGAGATCTTGCATGGTCGCAGTACGTCTTCCTGCTGTGCGTCATCATTATCCGAATCGCCAAAGTCGTCCGCAGTAGGCGGTGTCGGTCGAAGCAATGCACCGCTCGTGAAAGAAACGCCCCCACCTCCACGAGAGCGCTCGCCGTTGCGCGATTGACGCGTGTTGCCACTTTCGTGGCCTCCTCCATCGACCTTCATGGCCGGATGATGCGCACCTAACGCAGCTGCAGCAGGTGCATTCGTTGCAATATTGTGAATGTCCACTAACTCACCAACGCGCTGCTCGAGGAGGCCAAGTAACTGGGCCATAGTGATGTCAGTGACGCCATGTGTAGACAGTTGAGTCGCGAATGCTTCATCATTCGGCCCTTGCAATTTGTGGAAAAGTCCCATGGCTCCCGTTTTCATCACCTCCGAAGCTTCAGCAGCTTCACTATGACGAGCCTCTAGCCGAGCTACTTTCTGTCGAGATTTCTCGATCTGGTCCTCTAGCTGTTGCTTTAGTGCGCGTCGTCTTGCGTCCTCAACCGACCCCATGGAGCCATCACGGGTTTGTTCGTTCACCTGAGCTTCAAGTGCGTTGTTCTCCACCTCTAAAGCCTCCATCTCCGTACTCAGTTCGTTGATCATGTTGAAAAGCGAAAAGTTCTTCTCCTCGGCTGCAATCAGAGCGGCCGCTAAGGCCTGAGAACTCTTTTCGCCAGTCTTTCGCTTGATCTTGGCTAGACCATCCTGGGCTAGTCGCAACCGTTCACTTTGCTTCTGCAAGTCATTAGCCTTTTCGTGCAGCAATCGCTCGTTCTTTTGGGTCTCAGCACGCAGTTTAATATCGGGTGTTGACAGCAGCTTAAACCCCCCAGGAAGGGATCGACCAGACGTGTTAGTAGGCAAAGGTGAGCTTGCAACTCCTGGGGTGGCGCTGTTGACAAAATGTGGTCGCGACGGACTTTTAGGCGTGCGAAGACGTGGAATATCACGGATCATGGCTCGATCTTCCGCCAATTGCCCGGTCTTCTCGATCCATCCGGACTCAAAGTTGTTGTCATCTTCAGTGAGCTGCTTTCGCAGCACTTCACTCTGTCGGTTGGCTCGGTCTCTCGCATCACTTGCTGCTTGGGATGCTTGTGCCACTTGCGCAGCTTCCCCTTGGGCCTGTGCTGTCTCCCTCTCCAGCTTATCAAAACACTGCAGCCTGTTGCACCTTTTCACGACGTAAAGCTTGAATCTGTTCCCGCAGTGCCTTGTTGGCGTTGCACACTTCGTTGTAGCGAGTAAGCACCTTGTCTAGACGACTCTCAAGCGTTCGAATCGACTTGAGCTCCGTCGTAGCTGCACAAAGATGAGTGTTTGTGGCTTCACTGAGTGCCCTGCGAGCTTGGAAATGCTCGTCGCGCAACGTTCGCAAAGCAGCATCGAGGTCGACAGATCGACGGCGTTCGCTGTCAAGGCGCTTGGCGTACGTGTCTCCTTGCTGCATCAGAGCTGACACGCGCTCTCGAAACATTGGACTCTCGAGTCTCGATGGACTCAGAGGAATACTATGCACATCCGGAGGAAACACACGTGGCGTACGAGCTCCACTACTGGGGAGGTGATAGCGATTCCTGTCGCCACTCGTAGTGCGAGGGCTGAACATGCTAGACGTGGCGCCACCAGTCGTGGGCAGGTTGCTCATAGCAACAAAAGCTATCGACACTTGACGAGAAATGTGCAGGAGTTAGAATAGAAAAGTGCCATAACCTAAATGAGGATGCACATTGAAGTGAGGCAAAATTGGCCCCCACACTATTCTAAAAAACCCGAGAGCATTCGAATGTGCAAAATATAAAATACATTCATGTTGTTAGAAGTCTCCTGTCGTCTGTGTCTTGTTGCTGCAAGCCCAGCGCCAAAGTGTACACATGGGCTTTTTTCTTGTTCACTTGGAGATCACCTCCAGAGTTCTCGCTTCTTGTACATGTATGCAGGCCAGCATGAAGGGCCGATGAGTAGCTAGTTCATCAGCTATTTGCTGGTCAGAGGAGCGTTGTGGTACGATGACAAGGGGCTATCACGCGAGTACTCACCACCTTCCTCGTTCGTACGTTTAATATCACGCACACGACCTTCAGTTGCATCAACAGCAACGCTGAGACCCACAGGCAGAAGCACCGCACCATTAAGCCAGGAGCACACGGCAGCAGCCATCAACGTCCGGAAAAAGCAATTCCCCGCCGGCTCGAACACAGGAGTAGCCACCAGTGCAAGTGCAGCGATGGCAACGAACTTGGAGAGAGCGACACCAAGAGTCCACGAGGCCAGCAGTTTCGTCAATACTTTCTTCACACAGGCGTCTCCTGTTGGAGCACAACCCGACTCATCCGTGATGGTACGAGCCTTGGCAAATAGGCGAGCGAAGTGGCTCGAGAAGCCCACAGAGAACGTCACAGCAATCGATAGACTCACAACCGACAGCGAGTTGAGAGGCACACCCATCGGCATCATCAGACCAGCGACTTGGACAACTGTGAGTGCAGCAATGAAAGTCACTGCAATTCCATACCCATAACTTCCTAGAGCCAAAATCTGCAGTACCAACACCACGGCAAGTCCGAGACCCACGACAACATACGCAGAGCGACGAATAGAGTGGAACTGGTCCAAGTAGACGTACTCGAGGGAGTACACCCAGACCTCGACGCCAGTTTCATCGCTGATCCACTTGGCGATATATTGGGCCTGCGAGTAGGCCGTCACCGCTCCTTCCTGGCTGCCAGAGATCGTTGACGAACCCATTGTAGTGCTTAAAACCTTATAGGCAAACGCAGTTACATCCCTACCATAGCCAGTGCCGTTCATGGTCACAGTAGCGCTGCTGCTGATCACAGGAAGAGGTCGGTTATCAATACTGAGCTGTCCATGGTAACGCGTGCCAGCAGCATACGTGCACAACGGCCCAGGGGCTGCAGTCAAGAACATACTGAACAGGGAGATGAACGATTCTCGAGGCACCGACAACACGTCACTTGCCTCAGACAGACACGAGGGCGCTGCTGAGGCGCGTTCCCAAATATTCTCAGCACTGCTTTCTTGAGGACGAAGAGGTGAATACGCATAGGCGTTCTTCGAGTCAACGCGACAGCACTCACTGTCCGGGTTGACAAATCCCCAGAAATCGTCCAGCCAGGAGCCAACAACGACGTCGTCCTTGAAGTACGTAACCTTGCTGTCTCCAAACGCAGCCAACGCGCTGAGGATGTTCGGGATCGACAAGTCGTCGCAGATTTCCTTCGAAGAGCAAAACTTGCTCTGGGCTGCTGCATCATTCGCGAGATCATTGAAGCTGTCACCGTTACCAGCTTCCACCACGAAATAAACGAAGAACTCCTTCCTCGATAAATCGTTCTCATCCACAGCACGGTAGTACGAGTGCAGATACGAATCAGTCGGGATGAATGAAGCAATAGAAAGACCGCGATCCATCGTCTCAATCGCCACAATCGCCACCAGAGAGCTAGCACCAAATACGAGAAGCACCAAAACCTTCGACGTCTTTTTCAGCAACACGTTCACGTAGCCAAAAACACAGCGATTCATCAGATTCAGATCAGGCATGGAACACGTGCTCCCTGGGAACGACGAGTTCTCTGTCGCAGTCGTGTTCTCAGCCTCCGAAAGACGTGGACGACGGGGAAATGAAGCGCGTTTGCAACAGATCACATCGTACGTTCCGCTCAGCTCACGACGCTTGTCCAACACTACAATTGCTAGGAACAAGGTCATCTGTAGGGCAAAACTAGCAGCAAGTCCTAGTACCAGTGATCCAGCCAACCACTGCGCCGCTGGCATCGCCGAATACGCAGCAAATGCAACGATGCAGCACTCGCACATGGTTGTCAGGATCATGCTGGGGCCAATGTGACCTGTGGCTTCACACAGCAACACGCAGGTTATCTCATGGATACCAAAGTCGTTGTCTTCCAGGCCAACAAACAGCGACCGTTGCTCCATCTTCAACTCTTCCTGCTTCAGGTCAATAGCGTGCAGGATCAAGAAGATGTTGCCCGTACCGATAGCCAGCGTCACCAACGGCAACACCACTAGTGTCACAATCTGAAGTTTCGCGCCAGTCCACGCCAAAACGCCCAAAGTTCCGCCCACGGCCATCAAAATGCACGCAACACCCATGAATCCCACACCGATCTTCGATGAATGGAAGAAGCGACGGTCCAATTTCCAGTTGTTCAGACCGATGACCACGTACACAACCATAGAGAGAAACGCTGCAATCCCAGCCTTGAATACGACGTCCAAGTTGGAAGCACCTGCAAATTCATCGTCTGCTGACGTCTCGGCAGCATAATAAATGTCGTACAGAGCGCTGTTCTTCGCCTCTTCCTCCATTCGAGTAATAAACGAACGCTCCCAAGCAAAAGTATCTGCATTTTTGGCTGCGTCTTGATGATTCGTCACCACCGCAGTCAAAAACAGCGTCGTTGCTTGTTCCAGATAAGTACTCGTGTCCACCGAGTTGCCATCCCCTGTAAATCCGCCCAAGTACCTCTGTAACTCAGTCATCGGCAAACCAAAGGAAGACACACACGGGCAATCGCTCATACTGGGTGGAAGCTTCGATCCTGATGCGTTAAGTTGCACTTGTAATTCGCTGCATACAGCAACATCCGCTCGCTCAGGAGCGTCTACACAGTTGCTCAAGTGCTTGTATACCAGACCGTAAGTCTCGTACACTCGAAAGTGGTCCATGTCGTTCTGAAAGTACTGTGTCGCGGCGCTCACTCGACAAGAAGAGTTCTCAGTAACTTTGACGCAGATGTCACTGAGCGTAATACCGTCCGAAGTCACTTCTTTTTCCACAATCTGTTGTAGACGGATCGCCTCCTTTATATAAGCCGATCGGGTCACTGCACCACCATCTTTTGCCACGAGCACCAAACGCTCCAGTCGATCCACGGGTCCGAGCATCTCATTAAAGCGCGCCCGGTCCTGGAATACAGTGCTACTCTCTGTGACCCACAACTTCAATAAGTCCGTCTCCACTTCCAAACGCGCTAGACCACTAGAGCAGCACACCACAAGCATCAACGATAGTAGAATAATGTAGAGTGGGTGGTTCCCCATGGCCACAAAGTCCCCCCAGCGCTTCAGCTGCTGTGTTAGCCGATCATCCCAGCGCCCAATGCCCTTCAGTTGATCCAAGTTTATTGTTGACAACATACCAGAGCTCATAAACTCGTGCACAGGGTCGTTTATCACGTTTTGTCGCTTCTTCTTGCCGTACCGAGTAGAGTACGCGAAGCCAAGCGCCAATACAGTAGCTGCAAGGAACGCAAGAACAGCTAGCGCGTAATTCAGTACTTCAAAGCTGCCAGCTTCAGCACGGGACGACAACTCGGACAGTAGTAATCCGATCTTGTCAGGAATACTAGGCGAACTGCTGGCGATAGTCGCCGGCGTACTGCCTGCACTGTAGCATGCCGGTTCGTACTCCCTGTTGTCGTCTGCAGACACTGCACACAGCGATCCACATGTATCCAAACACGAGTTCAGTCTCGTATCCATCGGCGCGAAGCATGCGGTCGAGTTCGCACTGCCACAAGCACAAATCTTGTCCTCCTGTTCTGCCTCAGATAGTTGCTCCATCGTCGTGAAGTTCACTTGTGACGGTGATCCCACACCGCCAAAGCTGTATGTTCCAAGATATTCTAATACGCTTGCACCTGTCGTCGAGCAGTTATCCTCGTTCAGACCGCACACTAGCGGCACGAAACCCGTATCGGCTTCACAAAAGTCGTGCAGATCGCGCACCATATCACTTCCCACGTAGTACGTAGCCACCTCAATTGCGGGAAAGACCTCGTCTGTGTGGTATACGTCTCCCTCCATTAGGCGAACCTGCTTCACATCCAGGAACAAACTGTTGCTTGGATGGCACGTGAGCTGGCACCATAAATTGCGCAGATTCTCCTTGCAGGACGTGCACTGTCCTGGCAGTTGACGGACTTGCAGACTCAGCATTTCATACTGCGTCTCCGTGCAGCAGAGCAGTTCTTCTCCGTCTCCAGTTACAGTCTCATTATACAGCAGTGGGCAATCCATTTGAAACTTCTCCTGGTTGGTCTCAGACCAGGCTGAGAAGTTGTTTGCGAATCCCTGAGTATAAGCCTCCTCCACCCCAATGGGGAAGTACTGGGCGGGCAGTGCTGCACCAGCCGTCACGTTCACATAGGCAGCGTCGAATGCAGCGCAGTATCCAATTCCCTGTTTATAATCCCCCAGCACAGAGATGCTTGAGACGTCGTTAAGGCAGTCATCCCCTCCGGAGAACTTGCAGGTTGTCAGTTGTTGTTGCAGCGTCACGAGCGCCGCAGCGTCGGTATCGAATGAAGTCTGGGCCACTTCACTTTTGAGAGCACGGAAACTGGACGGGGATTGGCCCCCTCCGCCACCTACGACCACGCTGTTGATGATGGGCAACATGGCGAGCGCGAAGAGTGCCGACGTCCAGAGCTGCGGTGGGTAGAAGCCGCTGCCCGCGATCTCGCTGGTCGTGCTCTTGACGCGCAGCATGAGTGCGCGGCATCTGGTGCCGCGTCGCCACTGCACGCGGGCGATTCCTGTCTTAAAGTCGGTGACAATCGCGTCCTTATTTGCCTCGTGGGTCGTGGGCTGTCGCTTGGCGACGCGACGACTGCGCAAGAAGCGGCGGCAGTGGAAGGCCAGCGCCAGGAGCAACACCAAGGTGAGGCCGGCTGACACAAGGCGAAGGTACGTAAAAAAGATGATTGAGAGCTCGGCGAACAGCGCCTCGAGCCACGCGCGGAAGCATGGTGTCGCGATCGCCAGGCTGATGGCTGCGAACAGCCACATATTGCCGATACACTGGGCTCCAATATGAGAGTGATGTCTTAACTAGAAGCGGGGAGGGCGTTCAAGCGGGGGAAGATAGTGCCAGAGTGGATACGTACAGAAGATCGTAGCCGAATCTACCAGTAGGTCTGGACCAGATCCCACTGAAAAAACCATACATATTTCAAGGTATTTCGCACATATTTGACTGTCAGGTCAGTCATTGAAACTACTAAAAGGAATAGTAATCAGAGCACTCGTTGAGACCTTCTTGCAAAGCCACTTTTTCGCCCCTTTACTTGGTCAAACTAACCAGCTATTGCCCTCGCCTCCATAGGCGCACATCATACGCGAATCGCTGTACCAGTTCCGAGGGCATACGTGAACGCTTCAAATGCGCAGGAGCTCCAACGAGCTGTGATCAATGTTATGGCTCGACACGCCTCAACAAGACCCGAAAACACAATTAAGCAGTACAAGAACAAGCAGGATGACTTTTGTAAGTGGTGTGGAGATAAGATGTTTTTTGACGGGTCACTAGTTTACGAATCGAAGCTTGTGGACTATCTCGACACTTTTTTCATTCCTCGTGGTAACAAGCGAAAGAAAAATGAAGATAGAAGTGCTGTTAGGCTTGGTTATGAAGATGTGGATGCGTATGTAAAGGCTATCATTGATCTTTACCAATTTCAAAAATTCATCAACATGAATCAACACTCACACCCGCGCGGCAAGGCCCTAAAAGGCTTGATGGACATGCTAAAGCGAGGAGAAAACGAGCCGAAAGTCAACACATACACCGATTGAGGGCTAGAAACGGTGCTAGATGTGTGGTGTTGGAAATCCCACGTAAACTCTAGCTACAAATGTAGTTAGGACGTTCCCACAACAATACGTCTACTGGGATAGTAAACGATCGTTCGGGTGGACCTGAAGACCCCAGTTCTGCCCTTGCACCGGGACAAACTGGACCTTGTGAACTACTTATATAGGCCAGCCAGTAAAAATAAGAACACGCTACTAGCACGAGCAAAGCTAGTAGGTGTTTTGGATCCTCGTGGTCCCAACAGCGGAAGGGTACCAGGCACGGGTAAGCCTTTTACGAGGTCACCGAGTGTTCAACACGCGGTTGGAAGAATAAAAGGGGTGCAATACAAGCACTCCCAGTCGTGCAAATAGGCAACAATAAGCCGTCACGTAAAACCTCCCGATAGTAATCGGCCAAAATACACAGTCTCTTGGCCTTGCCGGATGAACCCTCGCTACAGAGCTTCGAGTTCACCGACAGGCATAACACACTCAAACCAGCTTGACCAGGCGCTTACCTTGAAGCCGGACGTCGCTCGGTGTGCTTGAGTGGATATTTTGTGCTGTATTTATGTTTACCCTTTCGGGTCTATTCCTAATAAGAAGTCCTAATCAAGTTTACAAATATCAAGTGAGCAATGATCCGTTATGGATCTTCTTGCACGCCAAGCGTGGTCTGCACCGTCGCATGAGTATCTTTAACCCCCCCCCCGTTACGAGAGCAAATCGTAAGTGCACACCCCCTGACCTCATGCTTGATATCAAGCATGTTAAAGACTAGTGATAACAAGGAGTTTGTATGTGGTAAAAAAATGAACCATATCCGCCTCTCAGTACAGAGCCACCCTTTATCACTGTCCATGTGACCACACGCTTCCTATCGAGCTTGTTCAGCCGTGGTCTATAGCTGCATGCTAGATATAGAGCAAAACGATTTGGCCTTTTTACAAGGAGGGTCTTTCTTTAGCTAAATCGAGTGCAAAAAATACTGCGAACGTCTTGTACTGAAGTGCAAAAGTAATGTAAAACAAACACTAGCAGCTGATTGCACATCATGTGTCTACTCAGCAGTGGTGTCACCATCGCTACTGCCTTCATTATCACCGACGGTCTCACCTTCACTCGCAGCACCACCTTCAGTCGAAGCCTTACCAGCGTTACCTGCCATCTTCCCCGGTGGCCTCATTTGAATGCCGCGACCGTAGCGAGGCTTAGGGCGGTCGCGACCATTCCTCCAGAGGTCATGCAAGATCGCGTAGCATGTCCGCGTGTTGCCCGGGTAATGACCCTGGCGCACTTTATCACACAAGTACAACCTGCAATAGCTATTAGTAAGTGATGAAGAATAAATGCATTTCTAGGCTTACCTCTTGTTCCCCTTGGTGCACCCTGGACAAAAGAACCGCGTGACCTGGCGCTTGCTGACCACTGTCGTGCGAATTGTACACACCTTACACTGTCGTTGGCAGTGCTTCCGAATACCGTTCACCTCCACCCATTCCTCGTCCATGGTCAAGCTGTGACCTTCGGAGCTTGTGGCGTCACCTCGACTTGGAGTCACAGGTGACACGCCAACGTGCACGACGAGGATTGCGAGGGGAAATCATGCTCTAGCAGCAGGGAATATTCTACGGACTTTACTGACGAGAGTGATGGAGAAGCAGTGTGACAGATGAAGACTATTTTGAAGCAAGCTTTAGTGCACAACAGCAGGAGAAAACATTTAATGCATTCTCAATTTTACTACCAACTTCGCAAGCCCCTCTCAAGCAAGAACTTCCGGACCGGGCACCCCTCTGCAAGCCACGAGTGTGTCACAGGCCCCGGTGAGTACATCTATAATAGACCAAACAGCAGGAAATTAGAATAAACCAAAAATAAATGCTTCGGTAGCCGTACAGTGTTCGCAAATTCCGTTGGGCCCATGTCCCATAACTGCGCGTGGAGCTGGGAAATGAAGCCTGCGTGGTCAGCGGCGGGTTCGCCTTACATTTTCCTTACTTCACGAAATACGATAAAGCTGTTCACCATAGCGATATCAAATAGGCCAAATGCCAGACTTTTGTAGTACTTGCGGAAGCGCAAGGAGAGCTGCAGCGAGTAGCGTTGCCCCGGTACTAAAACTTGATAAGGAAGCTTGTCTCAAAAACCCACATGCTTGATATCAAGCATGTGGGAAATGTGGGAAAAGGTCCATTTGTATTTTTATGACATTGTTGCACAGGGTTAGGTTAGATTTCGTCAAATAGAAAGTTCTGTGGATACACTGCTTTGAGACATCCCTGGTCCAAACGACTTCGTGTTTGTGGCTGCCATCCACTCATTCTCGAGCTCGCCGCTGTCATACGCAAGCCACTAAGCCGCAACGAAAATGGCTCCACCGCGTCGCGCTACGCGCCGCGACGCAGAGGTTTTCATGCGCCACCTGAGCGGCTACGACGGTGAGGCGAGGGATCGCCTAGTGCGTGAACACCGCGAGTACATCGCAGGAACACGAGACCGAGATACAGGCTTCGGGGACAACGACGGAGCCACATTGCCAGCACTGCCGCCGCCTCCTACAACCGGTAGACGCCCACGTATGACTGTCTCAATCAAGTCAAAGGCTCTGCCCAAGAAGCAGAAGCTGGCTTGCGGGGCCAGCACCTCGATGCCAACTTGCTGTACGTATTGTGTATTGTAAAAGTGTGTGTAAGACGATCATCTACATGGACGAGACCAATTTCAATCTCTGGTCTACTCGCACTAGAGGGCGCAGCCGCCGTGGCCAGCGTGCTGTGAAGAAAGGTTTTGCTGGTGGCGGCCAGAACTTGCAAGTGATTGCGTGCATCGGCATCGGCGGCGTCGTGCACTACGAGCTGCGATTCGGCGGCAACAAGTATCTGAACTCGAACGAGTTCATCCGAGCCACGCTGCGAAAGGTTGAGAATCTCGACAGCGTCGTTCTTGTCCTAGACAACGCGCCATGCCATGCTCGAGCTGAGCACGTCTTTGAGGAGCCTGAGTTTGCTGGTGCTATACTGCTGCGTCTTGGGCCTTATTCGCCCATGCTGAACCCGATTGAGAATGTATTCTCTGCGTTCAAGTCTGCTGTTAAGGATTACATGACCGAGCACCGTGCAGACATTCTTGCTGTCCCCGAAGGTGTCACGATGAAGGCGCACAGACAGTTCCATCTCACACGCGCTGCTCGCTCGAAATTCCCTGAGGTTGCTACACCAGGTCTGTGCGAGGCATGCTACCGCCACACGCTCACCTTTCACGTGAAGGTCACGGACCTCGAAGACATGCCTGTAGGCCGTTGAAGCGAGCCAGACGAAGTGCGTGCATCACGACACGCACTCACTGTGTAAGTGCATATGTAGTGTAGTAGTTCTTCCAATTTGGCTTTGCTCTTCATCAATTCGCTTTTGTTGTTGGCCAAACTGCTCTCGCACTTGGCTAATACCATTTGCTCTTGGCCTTATTGGACTGGAAAAGGTGTACCTCCGCTCGGAAATAGATAACCATTTGTTTTTTTTGCGCAGCGCTCCGCCTCGTTCATTTGAGCGTTTATTAATGTGTGAGAGGCTGGCTATCTAGCTTTATGGCGAGAGCTGACAGTAAGAAACTAAGCAAGGCACAGGCGTTCATGCTCCGCCGTGCAACTACAGATACAAAAACGGATCTAAGACGGCAACTACATGTACATCACCACATTCTGAAGGGGCGCTCAGTGGGGCTTCTGGAACTTCAGCGGTAGGCGGTGGGGGGGCTGCTCGCTGCAAGAAGCAGCATGTACGCGTTAGCATTGGCGAGTGAGGTAGCGTCACAAGGCAGTGACGTAGGAAGAGTGCCAGCTCGTACTTGCTTGTCCTTGTGCCGGAGGCGCGCCAACTTGTGCGTGGGTGTAAGTAGTGGGCGGGTCTGTCTGAGCGCACGCCGTATGTAGCCTTCCTTGATCAGCTGCTGAACCAGGTAGCAGCTCATGTTGGACGCGCGCTGAAGCAGACGCTGGTTTTCGCGCTCATTGACAGGAGCTGCAGCGATTCTCTCGCACAGCTCAGCTCGAACCACCTTCTTCCTACCACATGCGCTCTTCCTTGACTTGACCACGGCTGCTACTCGATCTCCCATCGAATTGATTCCACGCCTCCAAATTCGCTCGACAACTTGGCGGCCCACACGGAAGTACGCTGCAACCCGATCGATCTCTCCATGTTTGAGCACTCCTC